CGGGAAGAGGGGCTCCCCGCGCCCCGCCCTGCGTGGCAGTCCCGGGGTCCCCAGCTGCGAGGACGGGACCCGGTCCCGGACCCGGGGAGGGACAGCGCTGGTGGCCCTGGTTGAGCTAGGTCTGGGCACTGCTGCTGCTCCGGCGGCATCCAGGGTCCTCCCTCTGCTGAAGTTCCTCCGGACCCCTCCCCGCCGCCACATCCTCCGAGTTTTTTGGAAAACTGCTGGAAGAGGCGGGGGCCTGAGCCCAGAGGTCACCTCGTGGGTGACCCTTGTGCCCCCGGTGGTGGCCTGAGGTCTGACTTTGCTGCAAGCAGGTGGGGCCCTGGGGACTGAGTCTAGGAGAAGCCCGCTGGGGAGGGCGTGGGCCCGGGCTGCCCAGCATCCCAGTGCTGCCCAGACAGTGTCCTGGCGACCCTGGGAAGCAGGTGGGCTGAGGGTCTTAAAACCACAGCCCTCCCACTGCAAGGGGGGAGGAGCTGCCTAGAAAATGGGCCGTGGGACACATCCCAAACCTGGTCTCTGGGCACAGGGACAGGGGCGTCCAAGGGCATCCTGCCAAGAGGCCACAAGTTCAAGGCCCAAGGGGGGCAAGCAGGCCAGTGCTCCAGGCAGAGTCTGTTCTCCTCAGTCCTCTGCTGGTCTGGGGTGGAGCCAGTGCAGCCTGGCCTGGGCCCAGATGCCCAGCACCTCCACTCTGCCCCAGCTCTGCAGTTCCAGCTGCAGTGGGAGAGGCCCAGAGTAGGCAACCGGGCCAGGCCCCAGTGTGAGCTGCCCAGTCCTGGACTTGGCCTCTCTGCCTCAGTTGCTCTTTCTGCAAAATGGGGGCATGAGCAGTGTTTGGCAGGGCTGGCTGATAAGGGTCACGAGCTCTCCAAATAGTGGTTTGTGGAGTGGGGAAACTGAGTCTCAAATGGTTATCTGAAGGCCAAAGAGATGATCTGTGTCATCTCAGCTGGTCTGCAGAGATGGACAGAGGGGTCCCGGCATCTCAGGCTGGGGAGAGAGGAGAACCCTGTATCACCTGGCTCTTTGAGCCTCCTTGCCTGTCCTTAATCCTGAATTAAGAGACACGGCAGGGAGGGAAGGTCTGAGACCTTGGGCTGTTAGTGTGTGGTGTGCAGGGCCAGGGGAGGGGAAGTGAAGGCCGCGAGGACAGTGGCCAGGGCGTGCAGTGTGGGTGGCAGCTGCCCGCCACACTGAGGGAGCTGGAGCGATGCTGAGCACGTCCGCCCTCCCAGATGGCGTGGACTCCGCCCGGCGGAAACCTCGCTTGCCGGCCGGACGTGTCCAGGATGCTGCTTGTCCGGGGGAGCATCTGGGGAGCCCTGCTGACCAAGAGCCCAGCCTTGCAGGGTGCAGATGCCCCCGGGTCGAGCTTTGGTCTTCCTGAGCTGGTCGGGGCGGGAGGAGCATTCAATTGTTATGGACTTCATTCTGCCAGCTGTCCCCTTCCTGGCCCTTCGTGACTGAAGAGGGAGGCTGGGGAGGGGCTGGGCCCAAGCAAGGGGCTCCAGTCTCCTCCCATCTCCACTGTTCAGGTTGGACAGGGCGTGTCTGGCTGCTAAGCGAGCACAGGGGTGAGTCCAAGGCCACCGTCAGGGAAGCTCAGGCAGCCCTGTTCTATGCCCCTGTGTCCCTCTAGCTCCAGGTGTGGCTAGAGAGGCCGGGCAGGCGAAGGCGCCGTGGGGAGGCCACCTTGGGCTCAGAGGGGAAACCAGAAGGAGAAGCCCCTGGCCTCTTCTCTCCAAGCCATGGGGGCAATTGCTTGGGTCAGCCCCTATCTGGTGGGGTGACTTCCCCAGCCACCCAAGACCAAAAACAGAGAAGGCTGAAGCCTCTGAGACCCTAGCCTCTGTCCCTGGTCCCAGTAAAGCTCTGTGAGATGTAGAAAAGGGCAGACACAGGACCAGGAGGAGGGCTTGGCACCTGCAGGCCGGGGAGGGGGTAAACTGAGGTAGGAAACTGGGGATATGAAGCAGGAGAGGGGGGCGAGGGGTGCTGGCTGGTCAGCCCAAGGGATGACAGAATGGCTTTAGCACGTAGGGTCCCGCGGGAAGGCCCCCACCAACTTTCTCCACAGTGCTGCCGTGGGGGCTGGGCCGCACTCAGGGCCCCGGCTGTGATGTCTGTCCTCATCCCTCAGTGAGCATGTGTCCTTTTTGCGGTCAGAGAAATGAATTGTGCTCTTGGAAAAATCAGTTGATAGGTTTTGTTGTTGTTGTTGTTGTTGTTTTAGTTGATAGATGTTGTTGAGGAAAACTGGACACCCCAGGTGCACACAGGAGGCCCACCCAGTGGAGTGGTGTTTCAGCACCCCAGATCCCTGGGCGCCTTCCCTCACCGCAAAGGTCAGGGCTGGCGGATCCCCAGTGCAGCAAGAAACACTGTGGGAGCCCCCGGGGAACAGCCCGCCCCAGGACAGAGGCCACAGTGGCTCACAGCTGGGGCACCCGTTTGGGGCCCAGGCCTCACCACTTTCAGCCTGTGAAACCACAGCAAGTGTTACTCACTCCATAACCCCGAGTTCAAATGCACACAGGAACACGTTCCCAGCTCTGTGCTGGCTCACACAGCGTGGCCCATGGTGCTGATTGCTCACCTGGCCCTGGCATTCCACCGCCTAAATATTTCTCCACACCATCTGTGCCTTCCCCATGCCCACTGCCACCACCTACACGGAAAAGCCACCATGGTTGCTCTGGCCTCAGCCTCTGAGCTCCTTTCTCTGCTGGTCCCACCCCATCTCCATAGCAACAAGGGCACGCTCCTTAAGACAACCGAGGTGACATCACTCCTCTGCTGAGTTTGTGTCCTTCGAGCTGAATGTCAAGAGCGGGAGTGAAGCCCAGAGTGGTGGTGCATGCCGGTAATCCTAGCACTTTGGGAGGCTGAGTCAGGAAGATTCAAGTTCAAGCATAGCCAGGGTAATTTATCAACTTAGGGACACTGTGTCTCAAAATTTAAAATTTAAAATTTAAAATTTACCCTCCAAAAGAAGGTAGGGGTCTGGTTCAGTGCTAGGGCCTTGGTTCAATCCACAGTACTGAAAAAAAAAAGGGGGTGGGGAGGGTGTCGATGGGAAAGTTGGTCCCAGGGATCCAGGGTGGTGACTTGGCAGTGGGGCCAGGGGAGTCCCTGTCCTGTTCCCATCCCTGCCCATCTCCTCCCCGCAGTGCAGGCAGCCATGGGCTCCATGGGGAGCCAGCGCCTCAAGGAGCCCAGCATGGCGGGCTCACCTGACAGGAGCGTGAGGACAAGCTTCAGCTTCGACAGTCTCCCGCTGGAGGCTGCCTCGGCCATGGTGGAGGCGACTCAGGACCAGGGCATCAGGGCCAGGGCCATCCCCTCCCTCGTGGACTCCGGTGAGTGAGGTGCGGGAGTCTGCCCTGGGCAGCTCTCAGCTGGGGGCATCTGGGGTTGCAGCAAATGCAGAGATGCCCACCCCATGAACCCCTGCGGCCGCCATCTGTGCCCACGGATGGGCTCGGTGCCCACCAGGAAGATGAGGGGCAGCGGTGAATGAGCCCTGAGCCATGCTTCCGTCTAGAGGGTGCCATGGGGCTCATGGGTCACCTTCATCGGGCTAAGCCAGCTGTGCCCAGCTGCAAAGGACAGACAGGGATGGAGGCTGGTTTTCATAGCAGGGTGTGGTGACTCAATCCTGTCATCCCCATATTCTGAGAAGCTGAAGCAGGAGGATCACAAGTTTGAGCCCAGCCTGGGCTATTTAGCAACTTAGTGAGACCTTGTCTTAAAGTAAAAAATAAAAAAGGACTGCAGATGTAGCTCCATGTGAAGGGAGTTTAATCTCCAGTACAAAAAAACAAACGTAAAAGTTGTCAGTCCAGCTGTGTGACCTTGTGCAAGAATTAAAACCTCTCTGAGCCTCATTTTGCCCAAATTGAGGACTGGGGTCCACCAGTTGTGAGGTGGGACCTGTGGAGTGGTGGAGGGCAGGCCTGGCATGGAATAGGCATGAAGACCCCCGGCCTCCTGTCCTTTGCTACCAGGGCCTTGGGCAAGTCCCTGTGTGGCTGTGGCTTGTTCATCAGGAGAGAGGATGGCGTGGACGCCAGGCTGGGTGTGGGCTGTTGTATGCCTCAGCCTCTGGCACACTCTTGCCCACGGGTACCAGAGGCCATGTGAAGGGTGAAGGAGGCCAGGCAGTCCCCTGGGTGGTAGCAGACACCACGGGGTGGGGCCCCACCACAGCTGCAGTGGCACCAGTGTGCTACTCATGCTGGCAGCAGCGGTCTAACTGTGTGCCGATGGTGACAGTGGGCTTGACAGCAGCTGGATCAGGCAGGGTTCCGCTAGAGAAACAGAACCAGTTGGAGATGGAGAGATAAAGAGATTAAAAATAAGCCAGTGTGGTGGCATTCACCTGTCATGCCAGTGCTCAGGAGGCTGAAGCAGGAGGGTTGCTGTGGTTTTGAAGCCAGCAAGCCTGCTAGTGAGGCTCTGTCTCAAAAAACCAAAAGAACAGAAGAAAAAAGAAAGAGAAAGAAAAAGAGAAGAAATAGAGTTATAGATATATGCACGTACACAGAGATTAATTACAAGAAGTTGGTTTGGCCATGCTAAACAATCATTATGCACTGTAAATGTGTGCTAATAAAAGGTGATAATGATAATATTGAAACGAAATTGGCTTGCTAAAGTGGGGCCTGGTAAAACCATCATCTTAGTCCATTTCCTGTTGCGTTAGTGAAATGCCCAAGGCTGTGTTTCATAAAGAAAAAAGATTCATTTTTCTCATAGTGCTGGAACTTCGAAAACATGATGCCAGCCTCTGTCAGGCTCTGGTGAGGACATGTGATGAACAGCATCCTAGGAGAAGGCCAGAGAGACAGACAGGGAGACAGGGAGACAGAGGGACAGGAAAGGGGTCGCTCGGTAGAATGAGCAGGATTTGGAGGCAGTGGAGGCTCACTTAGGAGCCTGCTCTCCAATAAGGAACAGCCCTATTCCCTGTCACAGACCCAACCACCTCCCAAGGCCCTGCCTTCTAAATTCCAAGGTTCCATCACAAGAGGACCAAGCCTCCTGAATACACGTGAACCTTTGGGGACAAACCATCCCCAGTCACAGCAGCTAGCCTGCAGCCGCAGGGCAGGAGGTCAGGAAGGGAGGTCTGAGCTCAAAGAAGGTCCCAGGGCCTCGCCTGATTAGTCCAGGCCCACCAAGGGTCACCTTCCTTTTGGTTGATTCCAAGTCTACTAAGGACGGTCTTTATTCTGCAGTCCCTCCCCATCCATACCCAGAGGAGTGTCTGATTGCTCAAAGAGAGGCTGCATGTCAGCCGGCCAGGCCGACTCCCAAAACAGACCATCACGGTCTACCCTGGTGATCCTGGCAGCCACACTTCCTCTCCAAATAAAGGTGACATCAGAGTCACAGTGCCTCTAAGCATGATACAGCTCACCTGCACACCCCTAGAACTGTGCAACCCCTTTCCCAGAGGACAGTGTGACATCTTCCCAAACTGTCCGTCTGCTCCTTCCGGATCCTATAACCTTGCACCGAGCCCCAGAGTTACAATGAGAAGCACACCCTGTGTTAGTGATAGGGCACGCGAGTGGAGAAACAAAAATATTTGGTAAGCCAGGCATGGAAGTGCTTTCCTACAATCCCAGCACTGTGGGAGGCTGGGGCAGGAGGATCACAAGTTCAAGCCCAGGCTGGGCAACTTAACGAGACCCTGCCTCAAAATAAAAAGGGGCTGGAGATGGAGCTCAGCATGAAGGTCCTGGGTTCAATCCCCAGTACTACAAAAAGAATTTTTTTAAAAACTAGGCTGTTTCCACTGCCGTGATGAGGGTAGCTATGGTGGCCGTGGCCTCTTGGTGGTGAATGGCAGCCATGGTGACTGTGGGCAGTGGTTACGGTGATGTACTCCTGTTGCTGGGTGGCCGGGTGACGGTGGTTGTAGTGTTGGTGGCCACGGTGGCTGACGTGCGAGTGGATGATGCCCACCCCACCGTGTCTCACAGTGGTGGAGGAGCCGGTGCCCGAGGACCGCTACCATGCCATCTACTTCGCCATGCTGCTGGCCGGCGTGGGCTTCCTGCTGCCCTACAACAGCTTCATCACCGACGTGGACTACCTGCACCACAAGTTCCCAGGTGCGCCCCAGTCCCCGGCCCCACCCCGCTTACTGAGTGGCTGGACGCCCTCGGGGTGGCCCCTCGCCCTCTCTGACCCAGGAGGGAGCCTCGGGTGGGCGGATGGTGGGCTGCCCCAGCGCCCCGTCCTGCCCTCATCCTCCTCGCAGGGACCTCCATCGTCTTCGACATGAGCCTCACCTACATCCTGGTGGCGCTGGCGGCCGTGCTCCTCAACAATGTGCTGGTGGAGAGGCTGAGCCTGCACAGCAGGATCACCACAGGTAGCCCCCACCCCGGCCGGGCCTCACTCCACTCTCCTGTAAAACGGGCACCTTTCCCAGGACACTGTGGGCTTCTGCGCTATGGAACAGGGCCGGGTCAGGCTCCTCTGCAGCCGCGCAGGCCCCGCACTCCACCCTTGGGCTCTGCACAAACTCCTCCTTTCCCCCAGTGCCCTCTTCCTTCTTGTGGCTCTTCATGGAGGCATCCAGCTTCCAAGGGTGCCTCCTCCAGGAAGCCTTTGGAGTTGCCCCTTCTGGACCTGCCAGGTGTCCTCCATCAGGAGGGTGGCAGGCACCTCGTACCCAGCTCCAGGAGGACAGGAGGGGAGCGCTGAACCCCTCTCCTACAGGCTACCTCCTGGCCCTGGGGCCCCTGCTATTCATTAGCATCTTCGATGTGTGGCTGCAGCTCTTCGCACACGACCAGGCCTATGCCATCAACCTGGCCGCTGTGGGCACCGTGGCCTTCGGCTGCACAGGTAGGGGTGGGCCACAAGCACAGCCCTGCACACTCCATCCACATCACCACAGCCCTGTTTCTCTTGGGCTGTGGCTCATACTTTGCTGTGGTACTAGGGATTGAACACAGGGCCTTGACTCTGAGCTGCATCCCAGACCTTTTTTTTTTTTTTTCTGAGACAGAGCCTTGTTAGATTACTAAATTACCTAGACTGGACTCAAACTTGCAATCCTCCTGCCTCAGCCTCCTGAGTGCTGGGATTACAGGTGTGTGCCACCATACCTCAACTGTGTCTTTCGCCATGACCTCCAGGACACAATGATTCCCTAAATCTGTGTGTGCACATGTGTTCAAGTCAAGGCTTCATGAAGTCATGCTTTCCACCCAGGCATGTTGCTCGTGTTTTTTTGTGTTTTGAATACCAATGCTGAAGCAGGCATGGTGGCACATGCCTATAATCCCAGCTACTAGGGAGGCTGAGGCAGAAGGGTTGCTTGTGCGAGGCCAGCCTCGGCAATTTAGCAAGACCTTGTCTCAAAAAGTTTTTTCAAATGTGAAAAAGGCTGAAGATGTATCTCAGCACTTCCTTGGTACCAAAAAAAAAAAAAAGGAAGGAGAGGGGAGAAAGGAGGGAGGAGGTAGGCAGGGACTCAGTTCCAGTGGATTGGATACACTGCCCAGGTCCTGCTGAGCGTGTGTGTGTGTGTGTGTGTGTGTGTAATGGGATGGAAGAGGTGCATGGTCAACGTGGCTTCTTTGTTTCTGTTTTTGTTTTGGTACCAGGGATCTAACTCAACCTTGCTATTGAGAGGCAAGTGTGGTGCCATTGAGCTAAATCCTCGGCTCCCAAATTTTTTATTTAAAAACAAAACATTTTTTTGGTACCAGGTATCAAACTCAGGACCTCGCACCTGTACCACTAAGCTAAATCCTCGGCCCTCTCGGTGGCTTCTTAAAGCAAGTTTCTGTCCTGCTCTGTCTGCACGCCCACCCACTTCAGGGGCGGTGGCCATGTCCCAGTCTCTCGGGGACTCAGGCCCACAGCTCCGTCCAGGAGTGACCTCCTGGGTCCCTGCTGGTCGAAGAGAGGGAGCTAAAGTCCCCCATGCATTCATTTCTGCCCCTGTCCCACTGGCCAGGGCTGGAGGAAGACCCTGAGCCACAGGAAGGGAGGGACAAGGGAGGCCATGGTACCCTATGGGAGGCAGCACTGTCTCCACCGTGTTCTGTGAGGTGGTGGCATCAAGCCCCTCTGCCCGAACACCAGCACCTTTTCACACCCGTGCCATCCAGCAGGGTGCTCTGGCCGGGCGCACACACAGTCTAAACCAGCTGGTGACAAGCAGTGTCTCAGGTTCCCCCCTCTCTCTCTTAAGTGCAGCAATCCAGCTTCTATGGGTACACGGGGATGCTGCCCAAGAGGTACACGCAAGGGGTGATGACGGGGGAGAGTGAGTATTACACACGCCGAGGGCTTACACAGGATCTGGGGCTTCTTCCGGGGACCTTCACTGGGGGCTGGGCAGGGGTTCAGCAGCTGGGAGCGTGTGCTGTGTGTGGACGGCCAAGAGGCAGCCCCCGGGGTGCGTTTGTGTGTCTGCGTCTGCATGGCAGGGGATGAGCCCACAGCATCAGGTGCCCCCCTTCAGCACCAGGCTGTCCTCAGTGCTCCAGGGCCACCCACCACCCCTGCTCAGCACCTCCACACTAGGGTCCCGATGATTTCAACCTCCCTGCCACTCAGCAAGTGGCACCACTGTCCCAGCGTTACCCAGCACCCAGGCCTCCTCCTGTTGCCGGACCTGCCCTGTCCGCTCCTCTGAGTGCCTGGCCCAGACTGCTGACCCCAGCCTCCAGCCCAACCCGCACATGGGGGCCCTGTGCTCTCAAGCCCCCTCCCATCCTGGGGTGCCCTGGGAGGGTCCCCCAAGCTGTTTCTCCCCTTGGTGGCATTCACAGCCCTCAGCGATGCTCTGCTGTGGGGCCCTGGTTCCAGGAGGACACACAGGTCACTTCTGCTGACCAGGAGAGTTTGTGGTGGGGTGAGCATGGTGGATATGGGGCAGTTTGTGCTCGGGGTTCTGCCTGCCTGTGGGATGGCACAGAGGAAGTGTCCTGCCCCCACCTCAGGCTGCCCATGGCCTTGGATGAAGCCACACACCCTGGCATGGCTGCTGGGCCTGCAGGACCCCACCTGCCCCCCAATTTTGGATCTTGCTCTGGGGTCCACACCCCTGCTGAGCTCAACTCCTCACCTGTGCATGAGCACCGGGCTCTGCCAGACCCAGCCAGGGACACAGGACCAGGTCTGCACTTGGCTCCCTTGTCCTGTAGACCCTGGCTTCAAGATCCCCTACCATCCCCAGGGATTTAGCTCAGTGGTTCCAATGCCTCCTTCACAAGCGCAAGGACCCGAGTTCAATCCCTGGTACCAAAAAAAAAAAAAAAAAAAAAAAAAAAAAAACAAGAACAAAAAAAAAAAAAAAAAAAAAAAAAAAAGATCCTTTCCCGGGACAGGATCGTCTCACACAAGCACATCTGCATGTTCTCATCCCCTCTGCCCAGACTGCACCCTGCTAGTCATGTGACCTGTGTCTTGTCTGCGGCCTCACCCAGCACAGGCCGTGTCATTCCCAGTGGGTCCCAGACACTCAGGAGGTGGTGTGGCAGGTGTGGGGCTGCGCAACTCCAGGGCAGCTGTGCGGTATCTGGGCCCCGACTGGTGGCCCAGGGAGGCTGCGCGGGCCTGGAGTCAAGACAGAGAGACCAAACTCTCAGGGGGTCGAGGGGGCGATGGGCCAGATGGACCCGGGCTTGGAGAGTGCTGGGTGGAGTTGCGGTGATGGACAGGAGGGGGCGGGACGGGGCTCGTGTGTTGGAGGCGTGGCCGGGCCAGCCCCTCTCCATTGCGTCCCCAGGCACTGCCGGGGTGATGATCTCCCTGAGCCGCATCCTCACCAAGCTGCTGCTGCCAGATGAGCGTGCCAGCACACTCATCTTCTTCCTGGTCTCCGTGGGCCTGGAGCTGCTGTGCTTCCTGCTGCACTTGCTGGTGCGGCGCAGCCGCTTTGTGCTCTATTACACCACGCGGCCGCGCGACAGCCGCCGGGGCTGCAGGGCGGGCTACCGCGTGCACCACGACGTCACAGCGGGAGACATCCACTTCGTAAGTGCCTGCTCCAGGTCCGGGCTGGCCAGCCTCTTGTCTTTGTCACCAGATGCAGAGGGGGACCAGCCCTGACCTGGCGAGTGTCTCTGCTGGGGCCCGCTGTGCCCCACGACGCAGGATGTACGTGGTCCCTGTCCGTGGGGTCACCCCCACACTGCGGACTGAGACTCATGTGCATGGGGCAGCAGGGCGGGGCTCCTGGTGCCGCCCCAGCCTGAGCTCCCACTCTGTCCCTCAGAAGGAGCTCTGGAGGAGAGGGACACAGAGGCTCCCCCTTCCCTGGGTCTGCGGGGGCCAGAGAGAGGGCCACGGGGCAGGGGCCCCCACAGGCGCCGACACAGCGGTCACCAGAGCCAGCCCCAACCGGACCCAGGTGGAGAGGTTTGGTCCGGCTGTGTTCCGACGCCCCAAGCTCTGTGGAGGGCCGAGCCTAGCTGGGGAGCCGGATGCCCTCTGGTGGTGCAAGGTGCCAGAGATCCGGACCTGAAGACCCGCAGGTGCCTGGGGCGGCAGGGCCGGCCTTTCGGCCTCTCGGTCCACCTCCGCAAAACACAGCTAGGACTGTGGGGCAGGCTGCGGTTCAGGGCGTCCCCGGGGCCATGTCCGGGGGCACTGCAGTGAAGGGTCCACCGTGGAGCCCGCAGACACAGAGCCTTCGATGGAAAAAGACGGGTCTGAAGGGGTGCACTGGGGGCCCGCAGCTGGGCAGGCGCCCCAGGATGGGGGTGCAGAGACCACTGCAGGGTTCAGGGCACGTGTGCAGGAGAGCGAGGCCTCCAGGAGCCTGGGAAAGGTGAGCGCTTGGGGTTAGGTTTACAGACCTGTAATCCCAGCTACTTGGGAGGCTGAGGCAGGAGAAGGGTTTCAGCCAAGGCAACTTAGCAGGACCCTGTCTCGATATAAATGAAGAGCAGGGAATGCAGCTCAGCGCTTCCTGGGTTCAATCCCCAGGACTGGAAAGAAAACGGAGAGACCTTGGTAAGTGAGATAGAGGGCCCTGTAAACAGTGGGTGCTGACTGGTGGTCGGAGGCGGCGCTCCGCACTTGGGTCAGGCGTTGGCCCCGTAGCTCCCGGATGTCCCCTCCACCGAGCCCCATCTTTCTTCCAGGAGGACCAGGCCCCGGCCGGCAGTGGGTCCCCCAAGGACAGCCCGGCCCACGAGGTGACCTGCGGCGGCGAGG